TGTTTTCAGATCTTAAGTTTATCAAGCCATAGTTTCTGTAATCAGGCATCAAGAATTATAGATATACTCATGTTTCTTAAAATAATAATTATAATCTCCATTAGTTTGGAAAGTTTAGTTCCAAATTTCATCAAAGCAGAAATAAGTCAGCACATTCTAAACAAAAACAACATGTCTTTCTACACACAAACATGTTCAGCCTGGAAAATATCTCACCTTTTTTTTTTTGTTGTTTGTTTTGTTTGTTTGTTTTGTTTGTTTGTTTTTGTTGTTGTTCTTTTACAGGATTTAAACAGACCAAACTGACAGGATTCTTGTTCTAAAACTTTATTGTTTTGCTTTGCTAAAACAATTTCAGGGTTAATTCTATAACTTATTTCATTCACTGCTATCATCTGTGTCGTCAAAATCATCATCATCATCATCGTCATCTGACCAGTCGAATTCACTGAAACCCAAAGCCATGTTGATTTTCTTCCCTTTTCTCATAGAGGTGGTTTTAGAAGAATTCTTTTTGGCTTGCATGTTTATCTGCATTCCAGAATGCAGGACAGATCCTGCTTGGTTCAGAGAGAAGATATCCCCAAAGCCCGTCATCATCAAGGCCTTCAGACTTTGGTTCATGCCAGCTACCTCCCCGTTACTTGTTGCTGTGATCTGACAAGACATCTCTGCACTGTTTGACTCCTCTGTTTTAGATTCAAAGTAAGACTCCTGAGACATTCTTGCAGCAAGAGGTAAGAAAAACTATTTAAAGGAGGAAAGGACAGAGCAAAAGTGAAAGTTAGAACCAATTCAAAAATCAAGGAAAAAGTCACCACCATATTAGTTGGCAATCAACAGAAAGCATATGATTAGTGAATCTAAACATGGAGACCAAGTAAGGATTCACTAAAACAGTGTCCTTCTGGGGTCATTGTTCTTAAATCAAAATGTAAAATCACTGAGTGGCATGGCAAGAACCACAGCTAGCAGAGCTCTCATGACAAAAGAAGGTCCAAACTCTTCAATCCTTCATTTTGTACAGTGCAAAACAGAACGTGACAGTTCCCAGCCAGGTGGACTGGCTCCCAAGACAATGTGGATAAAACAGAAGTCTGAGTGAGCTGCTTAATTGAACCTTTCAGGATTGAAGAATAAATCAGGTTAAGATCAGAGAACCCAAATAAGCTCCCACAGTTTGGTGCAGAAGTAGCAGCCCCCAAATATCAGAAACAAAAGCAGTAGCAGATTGGTTTTGAGTGTACGCTCAAAAGGAGAGAAAGGGGTCACCCTGCAACGGTCACAATCAGAAATGAGCCTCTCACCAATGCAAAGGACAGCGGAATCAGCCTCCAGACTGCACTAACACCTTTTGCAAGGATGAGCATGCAGGGGAAGAGGGGCTGTTTTAGGCTGGCTCTTTAGCTTAGTTTTTGGGAATTTTTTGGTTTTTTTCAGTGATATCAATAGCTATCTGCCATTTGTACATCGCATTAGATCTCTACTGATATAACCTTCACCTACACATAATGGTATTCTCCTGACCCACTCTGTTTGTAATAACAAATGCAATGTGCTCTCTCCAGCTAAATAACGATTAATGCCTCTTCAGAGTGGCCAGGCTAGTAACCTCGGTGACAGGCTTGCCTGTGCTCCGCAGGGAGTAAAGACTCGGGAGTTCATCCTAAACTAAACTACCTACTGAAACAACAGCAAAGGAGTGGTGTGTGAACACCTGAACTGGCCTTTTTTTCCAAAGTTGTTTGCAAAAACCACTTGCCCAAAATTCACGTTTTTTTCACTTTTTTTTTAACCTAATCAGAAAACTGACTGAAGAGTCAATGGCAGTTGGTCACAACAGGTTACAAGGGTAATCATGGTGATGCCCTTGTCTCTCACACAAGAGGCTTCACGGCCAGGCTGCTCAAAGAGTGCCCATTTCTTGGTAAAACCACCTACACTGACTAATTGTCTGCCATTAAAAGAGACAATATCTGTCTTTTGTTCCTCTCGAGTTTTCCCTACTTACACAGGCTTTCTATTTGCATTGTGGTTAACAAAAGTTAGTAATCAGGGTTTAAGAAACAAAAACAAAACTAAGAAGTTGGCGAAATGGGATGCCCTAAATAGTCTTCATGCATCCTATGGTTAAAAGATGAAAGAACCAGCAGCTAAGCTTCTGTACACCTGGCTGTACAAAAAAAAGCCAATTACACCATCACCACAGCACTAGTTGGATCAAGAATACCAAAAGCTCTCACGATAAAAAGAAGTAATGTTTTAAAAACAAGATGTAGCCACATCACACACCATTCCTTGCCAGTTAGTTATAGTAACTTTAAATCCTTAGAAGAGCATGCCCTGACATATGGGAAGGAATCCCTATTAAAAAAAGAAAATCAACAAAGCTGCAAATCAGCTTTCCACTAGAACACATTTCTGGGTCATTGACTGTTCAATGCCTGATAGTGGGTAAACTGTGAACGGTCATAACTGTGGTTAATTTTACAAGTTATAATTACTTTAATTCCTCCATATTTTGCCATCTTGTTAGCTGGAGAAATTAAAGAGCTCTTTGGGACAGGACATGCCTTTGGTGTCACATTTCATAGGATGACTATCATGAAAAGACAATGAGAGATGGCTGGGATCTACCAATCTCCATAAATTCCACTGTTAAGTGACCACCTGCAGGTACATGGCACCGCAGGTGCGTATCTGGATTTCATGTCTTGCTCACTGTCTTCCTCTAAATAAGAGGTTCAGCTTGGCTACATAACTGTCTTCTTAAAGTCAGGTCCTCTTTCAAAAGAAGTCTCCCATTTCACTGCAGCTATGGCTATATTTTACTCCTCCAAAAGGCTCCAGATTCCCTTGTGCTAGAGGCTCTTGGAGATGTGCACAAAGGAATTGGCAGAGATCAGACTCAAAGGTGTCTTTGGTATAATATACAGCAGAAATAGGGACAAAAAAAGAACAAGGAGAAACACTACTTGAGTTTCTAAATGTTGGCCTCATCCTTCTCTCATGCTGAAGGGTGTAAAGCTATACTTCATCCTTTAGAGCAGGAGCAGCCTGCCACTCATAATTACCTACCATGCAGGATGAAGCTTCTACCACCCCTACAACAATGGAGAATCAAGTGGTAGAGACAGCTTTGCTGTTCTCCTTTCACTTGGTTTGAGTTTCTCCTCCTGCACATCACTGCTGGCCTCTGGTCTTTGCTGCAGAGCAAACCAAAGAGGTGACTCCAGAATGCAGAGCAGGGACAAGAGTACCAGCTAGGACACAACAAGGCCTAGTATTAGTTAAGAACCAGGTTCATGCCTAGTGGACACCCTAAGCTGTGTCATAGCTCTGGTTGCCATATCTTTACTACTGTTTTTACAGTCAAGGTAGCTTAAAATCAAGCACTGCAGCTCCCCATTACAACCCTCAAGTTCGATACTGCTGAGCAGACACTGCCTGGACCAATGGAGGAAGGCAGATGCTCGACTCCCAAGGATTACAGTTTGCAAACAGAATGCCCAAGGATATTTTCCAAATGGTTTACAGCTATGAATTTAAAATATAGTTGTACATGTAACCAGTGCTTTGTAGAACTTCATTTGCTATGAAAAAGACAATCCTGCTTCAATAAGCCATTTTTTGCCAGTATGCCTTTTTTTTCAAAAAAAAAAAAAGGGCCATTTTTAAAGCTGTTCTGTGTAGCAGTGCACTTAAGATCTACAGAAAAAACAAACCTATATTTCTCTATTAGAAGAAATTGCATTTAAATGCAATAGGAGAGTTGGGTTAATGTTATGCAGAAAGATAGTTCATGCTTAGCACAATAGGTCTTAGCACAATGCTTTATTCTTTCAGGAATGCTAGCTCTAAGTGAAAAGTACAAGTCATAAGCAAGTACAGCATAAAAAACCCTAGGGCCTTGCTGGTGAAAAGGTTTGCTCATTAAGGCTGTGTCTCATGCTGCGCTCAGAACAGAGAATGGCCCACAGCTCAGTTACTGGAAGCTTGCAAGCGTTAAAGCAGGCACGTAGATATCTACTGAGAACATACAGTATCTGCACACAGGAAAACATTCATCCTTCATTATTTCATTACTGCATGTTCACAGCTGGAACATAAGTGCAACTTCATTCAAACAACAGCAATAAGCTATGCCTTGAAAACAAGTCATATGTAAATGGGTCTGGCTGGAGTCAAGGTTATAAGTAGGGTAAAACTGCATGAGTAAAATCATATGCTACTGCAATCTCTATTTGGTATTTGCTTTGGTTAGTGCTTTAAAAACAAGCAGATATCACAGTATTTTTTTAACAACTCTGTTGTAATACATCTTGCCATGCACTAACCCTGTGGTCCTCCCTCTGCCAATCAGTGGTTGAAGAGCATCACATTTCATTAAGAAATTCAAGATAATGCAAGGAAGGCTTTTTGTTCAATTTATTAATAGAAATGTAGCAATTCTAACAGCTGGTAACTGGCCAGTGAAAGTTATGTTATCTATAATTATGAACACAACCTTAAATTAGCACTTCAAACTTTGACCCCCTTTTTCATAGAATGGCAATTGCTGCTTCTCAAAAAAAGAACAGAATAATAAAAAAAATCTACATAGGTTTCCTAAGATGCCTTCTGCAAGATACAAATAATTCTTACATTTAAGACCAAATCCTTCATCCATTAAAGTCAACAACTTTCTAGCTGAAAAAAGAATTTACTGAATGCAAACAACTTTTAAAGTTGAGAACTGTAAATAAATCAACAGGACATTACTTAAAGTGCCCATGTCCCAATACAAACTATCAGTAACATCTGGTGCCTAATGTATTAGATGAATTTTTTAAAAAGTAACTGTTATCTGGAGTGATGCAATAAAATAGTTTTTAATTGGCCCAAGAAACCAACTACAGACAACTGGAGCACTACTTCCTTGGTGTGTTTTGAGATTTACATAGACAAAGCTCCAAACACTTTCTGACACAAGATGAAAAGTTGAATTAGTGTCTACTTACAGGAGTATTTGATTGTTCAGTTAACTTCTGCTCCCACATCCTCAAACGTCGTTCCCGTTCCTTTAGTTCCTGCTCTTTAAAGCTCAGATCACGCTCCAGTTTCTTTAGTCTCTCTAAGGTTGCCTCAATTTCACATCTGCACAGAGACAATTTGTTATGTCTTGTCTTTTCCTGACAGATATAAATTGATCATAATTCCCACTTGAATGTTAATTAAATGTGAAAGGCTGAAAAGTACAATACTAACTCAAGCAGTTCATTTAATTACCAAATGCAAAGCCTTCCAGAGTTTTAAGAACAAATTGCAATGTTTATACTTGAGAATAACCATAATATCTTCAGCTGAAGAAAAATAACATTTAAAAGATAAAACGCCACATAACAACAGTATTTTAAGAATGAAAACGCCTTCTTTCCCCTCAACATCATGAAAAATGACCTTATCCACAAAGAAACTGCATCAAGAACTGGTAACAGGACAATTCTTAGCAACACAATATGGGCAGTCCAAGAATCCCATTTGCCTGGGTTTATAACTTGGCTATAAATACTATTTGGACTTGCACTCAAATGCACAGAAGCAGTACTGGGGTGTTTTACTCTCTTAACTTCCTGTTTCTTTAGGTGAAAATATAAGAGCAAGAATACAAACCATGCTATGACCCAGCCCTGCAAATGGTTACAAACACAAGCTTCTCAGGTTAGGAACAGCTGAGAAAAGGATTTGGTTTACTTTTCTCCACTTCTCACCGTACATGCAAAGGTATGAAAAATATGAGAGGCAGGAAATGAAGGCAGTATTCTAAGAAGCTTCAGGTAGCATCTTTTTTTGGTTTCACTGCACGTACCTCCCTCAACAAAGTGGTTTCTTTTGACATGCTTTCTGATGGACATTATCTTTTAAACACACGAATTGAACCTCTTTGGAAGATTTAATAAGCTTTGCACTATAAATGCAGGGGTGTATACTAAAAGGTGAAGAGCAACTCTGTCACCAGATTCAGACACATTTTTTGCTCATGGGATAACCAAAGAAAAAACTCCAATTTGTATCCAAACCTGTATTTGCATTTAATGAGCCATTTCTGTGCCTGTTTGGGAGACTGTGCACTGCCTGCCACCTGTGTCCTGACTATGGCTTCAACTAGTCTTCGAAAACAGTTGTGAAAAGAGTCAATCCTAATGTTTTGTTTTCCTCCTAGAAAAAGCAAGCTCCTAAGGAGACAGAGATGCTAAAGAGAGCTCTGGAGAGACAGCTACTGGGACTCTGTAAGGTCGAATATTCTGCTCAAACTTTCACAATATTTTTCCTATGTAAACACACTGCAAACAAAATATGTTCCTTCTGATGTTTTCAAAAAGAAAATAAAAGGACTAACAGAGTTAGCTGCCATTTCTGTTTGGGGTAGGGAAAGAGAATTATTGCTTTCTGTAAATCTCCTGTCCTTGAACGGAATGATTAAACTCTTCTCCATGATCAGCCTAAAGGAGTTCAGGTTCTCAATGTGGGAAAATGGCATACCCAAACAGTCTATTTAAGCAAATGAAATAATATAAATATTCCAAATTTTACAGATTTTTCAATTTAATAAGACATCCCTGTCAGAGAGTAATGCTTACAAAGTACAATGAAAGGATTCAGAGCTGGAATAACCAGCAAAGCCTACTGCAAAACTCTAGCACCATGCTTAATTCTACTGCAAAAATCAGCCACCTGGGGGAAAAGGCATTTATCACACTTGAGTCTTGCTGAGTGAGCTGTTCGATGTGGTGGTCAGAACAAATGCCCTTCTTAATTATCATGCCTCAGATTTCAAACAAAATTCTCTATCATATTTAGGCATGCAAAGGTCAAGACTGATCTCTGTGCTGGGTAGAAAATGGTGATAAAATCCAATAAAGAGACAATAACGGAATAAAACAAAAAAGCACTGGACAGAAGGTCAGAAAGTGACTCTGCTCCCAGTGTTCATTTCCCTATCATAAACCCTTTCTGACAGGTGCAACATATACTATGCAATCTACTGTGGGAACTACAGAGCATTTTGAGGACAATTGCAAGTGCAGCTTTTCTTAGTTTATCTCTCGTCATCACTGCTACTTACACACAACTCTATAATTTTTAAAATATGTAAATTACATTCTCTTTTAAAATAACATTCTGAGCTAGGGAAGTCCTGGTAACAATAGTTTTCTATGCGTCAAAAGTCTATTTTGTGCTGTAATTACCTCTCTTCATTAGACAGAAACTTCTCTTATAATAAAAGGTCAGTCTGCAAAAACAGTTGCATTCTGAAAAATAATTCCACTGTATAATGAAGCTGTGTAATTAAAGAGAAAGCTACCGTACATTGCCCACTTAATGAGTCTTACTCCATAAATGAAGCAGCTTGAAACATCACACATGGTAGGGCATGTGGATTTGTTTGCTTCTGTAGTTGTGCACTCTGAGTTTACTGGCTTTTCTAGAATAATCTCATTCTGTGACAATGAAGAATGTATACTGTATTACTAGAAACCATAATGATAAACATTCACAGACTAAAAACAATGACTGGCATTTGTTTATATGTCTTGAATTGCTACTGATAAACTAATAAAAGTATCACTAATAGACTATTTTAATCATTAAAACAGCCACTCGTGGGGAGAGGATGGAAGGAGAAATGCAGTTAGTATATGTGACTAACTGCAGACAAATGTGATCTCTCACTGAATTGGAACATCATTACTTCAACAGTAATTTTTTTCTACTGCAATAAAAGTGACTTGAGAAAGAGCTTCAAAACCATCACAGAATATGAACTTAAACATACAGCAGACACGTGCAACTCAGGCATAAGACAGTGTCCCTATTCAATTAAAGAATAAAAATGTGCAGAACACTTAGGAAATACAATACTGAAATAGAACATGCAGATTAAAATGTATTATTAATATAATCAGGACCAGAGAATGCTTCAAATAAAACCACATTATAGATAGGTCAAAGTGTCATTTATGTAATAAACTCCACCAGTCATGTATAGACTCAGCCAACTCTCGGTTTTCACATGGGCCAGTCAGTGCCACTGAAGTTACTTGCTGCTACAGATACAGTTTGTCCATGTCTATATAGAAAGAACTTCATCTTTAAGAGTGGAAAAAAAATGTAATCTAGCTTGCCTGAGCTTTGATTTGCTTTGGTAAGTGCAGTAGCCTTGTGAAAGTGCAGTATTTGGATCACTAATTCAGAGGTCCCTCAAAGGAACAAGCATAACCTTTGCTTTTCCCAAGCCCACCCTTCTCTAGGGTTCTGATAGTCAGGCTTCATTAAAATTCCCTATTTTGTGGTAACACATCTCATTCTTTCCCTACTGCTGGTATCACTACCTCTTTGCAAATCATTATGGGATAAAAAAACCATGAAAGAAAAAGAAGCAGCAATGAATAAAAGAAAAGATTTTCCAGTGCAGAAATTAGAACATGTTAACTTTGGTGTAACTGTTTTTAGAAACAGCCTTAGCCTGTTTTAGTTTATCCTTTGGGATCACTTTATGCATCTTTCACCTTCTTCAGGTTGCACATTTTTTGCATACTTTCTGTTAACTTGACTTAACGCTCATGAATGCCTCCATACAGACAAGGCTTTCACATCAGGGAAGGCAGCCATTACAAGAATTTGGGTTGGAGAACAACCCTCTTACCCAGCTTCCAAACAACTCCCCACACAACTTGTGCTCTTTTTGCACTTTGTGTTTTCATTTCGGCTTAATTCAGAAATCATCTTTGCTTTCAAGAAAATCACGTCTCATCAGGAATTTGTATTTTCTCTCTCCTATTTCCTTGTCTCCAAGTTCTTTATTTTTGCAAAAAGAAAATGCCAAATTTATCTTTAACACAAGTCCCCAAGGTAAGAAGTTTTTCTGTTACTTGATAGCATCAAAGAGCTTTTTGTTTCTACATGTTTTTTCATTAACACCTTTTCAGACATTCCCCATCTGAGTAAATTAGGTGCATCAAAATAAAATTTGCAAGAACCTGGGCCACCTGAGTCACACCCCAAGAAATAAACTGATTAAGTAAAAGTTTGTTACCAAGTGTGCGTGTCAGCTAGCACAGCTTTCATTCTGCTATATTGGCAAGATTTTAGTAGTTATTTGCTTTTCCTAAGGGCATTTGAGTACTTGCTCCTCTTTTAAATAAGTATTTTTACTATGTAGGGGTGTATAGGAAGCCCCTCATTGGGGGATATTTTTCTTCCAACCCTGCTTGTATTCTGTCAAAACCACAATATGATGCCCAGAGTCTGCAAAAACAACGGTGGCCATAAAATAAGTTTGTTTTTTTTCTTGAAATACTCTACATTTGTCCCAAGCCTTAGAGCACGGATTTTAGGGGAAGAGGGTATACTGATAACGCAGTAAAAGCACCACCACAGACAAAATCATTGGCAAACGCTCGAGAGCCGGGTATTGATTGGTAAGAGGGCACTCTGAACACTGCTCTCCGGGGCTGCAGAGGAGCCTGCTCCAGGGGCAGTCCCGCACCGCGGGCGGTGCGGCAGAGCGTGGGACAAAGCGCGGGGCAGGGAGCGCGGCAGGCCGCGGGGCAGGCCGCGGGGCAGGCCGCGGGGCAGGCCGCGGGGCAGGCCGCGGTCCGAGCGGCGGGCGGGCGCAGCGCGGCGCTGCCGCCAGCAGATGGCGCGGTGCCGCCGCCGGCCGTCCCGGGCCGCGGTGCCTCCGCCGGCGCTGCTGAGTCAGGGCAGGACCGGCCCCGGCCCGGGTTATTTATACCCCGCCGTGTGACCGGGGCGTCCCATCGCCAGCTCAGTTTTTCCACTCGCCCCACTAAAACTCTGCGTCTTGCCTTTCCTTGGAAGGCAGCGGAGGAAACGTGGGATGCCGGGCTTGACACAAACCCCGTTTCCATGTGCTCTTCCCCATCCTCCATCCAGCCCCAGTTTCTTCGATGCCTGCAGGCTGGGAATCTTTCAGTATTTGTGCTCCCTTCTTACTTGGCACAGAGCCACCGCTTCTTAATATAGACTGAGGCACAATCATCTGAAAAACTCTTCTGCCTGTGCAGATCTGCTTTCAATTTTCTTTCCCAAACAGAAGGCTGGACTGGGAAGCAGCGAGTTTTCTAACCCACAAATAAGCTTTGGGGACAGGTTCCAGAAGTTTTGGCACATACCAAAAAAGAGGCTGGAAGTTTAACTGTAAAACTGTCACGTAATAAAATTTTCTCGAAGCTCATCTCCATTTATAATCACTTTTGAATAACAATTACAATCAGCAATAGCCCAAATCATATACTCAAGCAATGCTGGGGCACTATACAAAAACAGGGCTGGCCTGAGCATATGCTGGATGCATGGACACACAGTCATACGAGGCAGAGAATGCATAAAAAACACAACACATACAATGCATAGAACACAAACAAGTGAGGACAAACAGAGGCTTGACTTGAAAGGGGCTTTTTATGCCCTTTATCATTTTTTCGGTCTTGATATTAACATCATCTATACACTTTCTATGAAAATTGCATCAATCATACATATATCTGAGTTCTTTTGTCCCCACGCTATTGACTGGAAACTCGTAATTAGTTTTAAGATGTGAATCACAAACCCATAAATATCATGATACCTAAACTAGTGTAATAATAAATAGAGGGTACAGCTAAGTGCATTGGCTCCTAATACAAGTTTCACAACATTCTAGGCATTCCTGAAAAACAACAAGGTAAGTTACATCCTAAAAATACCTCAAGCACACATATTTGCTGCCAATACATCATCAGAGTCTGATGTCTTTTTGAAAAGAACGCTCATACCATTTAAACATAAAACCACATCATTTCATCCTCAGAGGAAGGAAACTTACCTCCACTCCGCCTTGTTATGCAGGAATGAGTTACACTGGTCTGGAAGGTTGCTGTCATTTGACATAGATTCCAGGATTGAAATGATCTGCTTGAAAGATGGCCTTTTCTAAAAACAAAGGAAAACCAAAACAAAACAGAGCATTTGCATCCATATACAACTACTAAAAATATCTGCAGGAATTTTTCAACTGAAAACCCACAAGCAACAGAAATTGCAATGCTCCTTTCTGAACACATTAATCCTACAAGAGGATTGCAAGTTTATAAATGGGATTTTTTTTTGTTCTCCCATTGAAGAAAAGGTCAGTTTGGGAAGAGTCACATAAGGTAGTAGGACTCGAGCCGTAGCTTAGTCTTCCACGTCTACCAGTAAAACAGCATTCGCAGCATCAATAATAATCTAGATTCTCAATTCTAAAGTTTTCTCAAGCTAAGAAGGAAAATGCTGCCAAATACAGAAGGCTGGACCCATCAGCAACCAGTAATTAGAGATAGCCTTTTACAGGTGCTAACACAAACTCTTCAGTGTGAAAAAGGTATTTAGCTACCCATCAAAAATTGTTTTCTGGCTGCAGTTCCCCTCTTGCAGAGGAGAGACTTTTCAGAAAAACCTCTCACTTTAGCTACCACAGAGCAGCCAGGAAAGAAGTGAAGATTGAGGCTAGGTAAGGATGCCTCACCTGGCAGCTAAGCTCATATCAGTAGCCTCTGTGCTCTTCTATCCTGGGCTCATTTACTGAACTTTCTGTTCAGGGCTCTCCATCCAGCACCCACTGTGCTCACTAATCACAAAGAGCAGTTAAAACTTTTCTGTATTTTCTACTTTCCCCTTAGTCCCAAGGGGAAGCTATGAAGTAGGATAATAACTGAAAACTGAAAAAGCCAGAGTTAAATGTGTTTCTTGAAAGAGCGCTGACTCTGTTAGTCTGTTTGACAGACCCCAGACAAGGTTGAGACAAAAGGTTGAAACAAAATGTAGATACATAATAAGGGGATGATGCACATTCTTTCTCTATCGCGCCTTTAATTATACCATTTCTGCTAAAATTACAGATGCCGCAATTAAAACGTGCATTTTAATTTGGGAGCACAAAAACAATCAGGAACAATGCTGAGGTGTCTCTCTGAGGAAGATCCAAGTCATTTCCACATTATGAAAGAAAGACAATTTCTTTATTTTAAATGTCAAACAGCATGAAGAAGTGTCAAATGCATAACAACAAAAAAAAGACAAGCTCTCTTATACTGTAATGCTGCACTAACCGGCTGTAACTGGAGGCTTTGTCTGTCATTTTTGGGTCCATCTCCATGATTTCAAGCAATGGGCAGTTGAACGAGCTACATAGCTTTTTTTGCAATGGACACACTTGCCCCAGCCTCTCATGTGCTTATGCAATTTGGCTCCCAGCTCAGCATCCAGAGAGCAGCAACCTGGGCACACCTGGCAACAGGTGCCTGTTCACCAGCGCTTGCTGAGCTGGAAACCCAGCAGGGTCACCCTGCCTTTACAGATAGCTGGAGGAGGCAGCAGTCCTCCCCTCCACATGCATGATGCTGCAGGACCCAACACAGCTGAGCAGATCCTCTCAACACACCCTGGAAGAGCCCAAACCTCCCCAGTCAGGGAGTGTGCGGCACTGGGGTACAGAGCACAAAATCCACCTCCGGCACCAACAAGGACAACTCCAGTGCAGTTTTGTGGCAGAAGAACCTTCCAACTGCCCTCACACCCTTACTGTTGCTACAGCTGTGTCTCCTATAACCACATGGTTACAAGACAAATTGTTGAGGTGATTCAAGAGCCTCCCAAATGGAGAGGAAGCTGCCAGACAGGAGACTGTGGCTCCCCACAAGTACACCAGGGTACTGCTACTGCTATGCCCTGTCCAACAGACTAGCAGGTGCAAAATGAGCCTGAACTACACTAATCCTATTTTCAGGAAAAGACCGAGGGCAAACATCCCCATGCTGCATTACTCACAACATTTTACATTTCATTCAGGATTATTTTACAAAACACTTTCATAAATTTTGCTTGCTCCTTTTTTGGGGGGAATATCCTGGGAAGTATAGGACAGGGCTAACATTAATTGAGCACAGTCAGCACTATTGTCAAGCCTGCCTGCACTAACTGGAGTGGAGATAATGACAAGAGAACAGGGCTTTTAATAAGGGCAAGCAAAAGGACCAACCAACTGATCTGGGAGGAGCAGCAACACACATTTGGTGGGTCCTATGCTACAGGCAAAGGAGTTCCTGAGCTGTGCAACTAGAGCTGGAACAATTGCAGAGTCACACAGTACTGTCAAAGCTTGTACATCTCTGGCTGTGCAGTATCTGTGAACAGCCAGCAGCTACCCTGCCAGCTTTGAAGCTGCCAGATTTACAGGTACCAGCTTTCTGCAGAGACAAAGATGACAGGAAGACAAGCCTACACTGCCATGTGGGTTTTGCTGGTGGTTTCTTGCCCCTTAGGAAAGGGTAATTTCAGATTTAATAAATGCACTCTAAGTACAGAGTGGTTAAAACTGTCAAGAAGTGATCTGTGAAACTGGGAGCCTGAGCTGAGAAACTTTAAAAAAAAAAAGTCTTATTTTTGGTGGATAACTGCTTAGTACTTTCTAGAAAGTCCTTATATGAGATTCTTAAAATATCAAGGCATGAGTTGCCTTTGAAAACTGTTTCCCTTTATAACTGTGATGCCTCATATTGAAATCTTTACAACACATGCCCCTCTAGAAATAATTATGGCTAATGTTTTGTTTCCTTCCGCTCAGTATTTCATACTGAATAGGTTTGCATAAAACCAGAGGATATTTAATCCATATGACCTTTATTTCTTGCTTCCTCTCTGTTCCCAGGTTTCTGATTTCCATTGAAATACTCAGTAATCTATAAACATCTTTGATATGTGGATAAACTAAAGGAATAGATGAAACGAGAAAGAATCATTCACCTGTGTTTCAAAAGCAAGTAACAACAGTAAAAAAAGGCACCAGTGATGAGAAATCTTGTTTCTACAGTCTAGTACCCAAGCAAAAGGAACTTGTTTGGTAGAAATTTTAACATGTGAACTGTTTACTTCAACTAGCAGTTTAAACTGCATAAAGACTACCATTCCAAATATCATGTGGAGCACTGCACTACAGACATTTTTCTCCATGTATGATGAATTTCGTAAGAATTCAAAGCAATGTTAATAACTCTGTCCATTCCCGTTAAGAAGTTATGATGTGAGCCGTATCTGATAGTCCAGCTGCTTTGCAGCAGCTCTACAAGTGTACTCCTTAGCCCCACAGTAAATGCTCATCCCTCTTTTCTCAAGGTTAAGCCACCAAAAGTTACCTTATGCTTTCTGTGGACTAAAAGTAAGCACCTTAGCAACTGCCTTTGAGCAGCTGACATCCTCGAGTTCACCCCTGCTTGACCTTCAGTTCATGCATCAACGATCTGATTTTCTAAAGCTAATCCTGGCAAAAAGGGAATGTTACACAGAGCACTATTTCAGAGGAGCGTGCTCCATCTTTTGGCTCATGCAGGCCACACAGCCTTTTATCAAAGCATTTTGAGAGCTGTAAGCAGTGATCCCTTCCCAACATGTGACTGAATAAGTCAGTCACATGCCCAAATTGTGACCAGAGATTACTCCATTTCAGTCATGTGAACAAAGTATTTATAATTGCCTAACTGAAGAAGAGCTGCATGAGAAAAACTAGCGAAGAGCACTGTCAGGAAAACCCCTCTCACAAGAGATTCACTCTTTGCACAGAACAGAGATGCCTCTGGAGGAACAACGTTCCCAGGAGCACACACCCAGGTGAATTACTTAGGCAGACAGAACTCAGTCTGATGGTTAAGCATCCTTCTTTTACAACATGCAGATCCCTCCCTCCCTCTCCTTGAGAAACAGCAACACTCTTGAACACTTATGGATGTGGCTAAAGCAAGGCAGAGAGCAAGCTACAATTATAGAAAAGAAGCCCCAGTAATTCTTATTCTGAGGCCTTTGGTAGCGATGCTGATACTTGGGAGCAGTTATTAAAGATAAGTAGTTGTCACAGAAAGTGCTCTTCAGTAATTACTGACCTAGAATTAAAACAGCCTACTTGTAGATTCAAAAATCAAAGCATTTTTTCCTCCCCTTCTATGGGGAGGATACAGGGAGTTATTAAGGGAATGACAATTAAATGTCTGTTCACGTGGAAACCACATGTTGACAGATCTCAGTCTTCCAGATCTATTCTGTAGGAAAGCAATTTCTTGCTTAAAAAAGAGAGACTAAGAAGGGATATTTTCTTTCTCATATTATTCTTCTACGACTACCCTCTGGTGATAAAGCGTTCTAGCTTAAAGAACCTAAGTGCTATAATTTGTCTTGGAATTGACCTTGGTCTCTCTGAAGCAGTAGCTAGCTTTCTCCTGAGTTTAAAGACACAAAGTTCTTGCTGGTGCCTTGACTTGAGAAAAAGAGGATAATTTCCTCTGCTTAACTATCCTTTCCTGTCTCAAATATTTTCATAGGCAAAGGAAATGGATGTTAATCCTTGGTAATAAAGCTAGTATGCCCACAGGCTCTTTCCAGTTAGTTTTATGTAAAACAGGATAGTAGTAGAGTCCATTTAAAGAAGGTAACTCCCATAATCTACAAAAGCTTTTACTGTCTAAATATTCTATTTAATTCCTTCCTTGTAGCAGCAGATTAATAATAACAATGGTTTGGCACTTTAACTTTTTATTCTGTTTCCATCGTTAAACAGTACTGCTATTATCATATTATTAAAGTATAGTCATTATAAAGCTCATCATTCAAGTCCTAAGGGAACAGATTAGGAAAGATTTAATGTCAACTCAGAATGTGTTGCTGCTGTTCCTACCCATGTTTTATGGATTAACTTATTCTTGAATTATATTTGTATTTTCAACACAAGGACGGCATCAAAATTGGACCTTGAAATAGGCATTTCATAACATGATGCTCCCATGCATCCAAAAAGATTAAATATTAACTACTGAAAGAAAATATAAAACCCGTCATTTTCCCACTTGCTCCAAAATGGCTGCGTTTTTGCCATCTTAATGTATTTCCTGTCCTTGTCTTTAGTAGTTAGGTAAGCTCGTAGCATAGTAGCTCTCGATTAAAAGTGAGAGACAGACATCTAGGTATAAATATATAAACCCATTAAAAAAACCCAGCCCTAGTTATCTTTGTTAAGAAATGTGGTTTAACATGTATCAGTGGTGTCAGCTCAGACTTGTCCCCCGTGGAAATGCTAACGCACTTTGCAAAACATGGCTTGGGGGGGTGTAAAAACCAAAAACACATTAAATTACCTTTGAATCAGCATCCCAACATTGCTGCATCAGTTCTGCAAAACTTCTGGGACAACTGCTTGGAATGGTTAATCTCTGATGGAAAGAGAATGTACCAGTTATTGGAAGCATTTCCCTTTAAGCTGCTACTAATAGATTTCCTAAAATAGCAACACGATTAAAAGAATTAAAACACACTCTTTCTTTAAAACACAATATAAAAAATGAGGTCTGACATATTAGAAAGAAAAATCAAAATTATTAACACTAGCAAGACATACAATTAATTTTTAATAGATTTATAAGAAAGGAATTTAAGAAATGCACAAATGGAGTTTCTTAAGAAAGCTCAGGGAAGAACTAAAACCAAAACAAACAGCTTTTAATACTAAAACATAATAGTTTGTGGAGGCTGCTGCATGTTATTTTAAGATGCTTGTCAAGATCAGCATAATGTACAGGCTGCCTTAATTCCTTTCTCCCACACAGATGATCTAGCTGTACAATGCTACAATCACTTTTGACACACAAATGGCTGAAATATAGATTACATTAAGTGAGTTAAAAAGAGTTAGGTGAAGCTCTACATGACACAAGAGACGTTTCATGAGCCTGTGGCCAGAAGGATTAATGAGAACATGCAGATCTCGGAAAGCACTCCCAGAGCACAGTGAACTCATAAATATTTCCTAATGACTGAAGACAAGGAGTTGCTGGTTATAGCCAGGACCACTGACTACAGAGAATTAGCTTGAAGCTTGTTTGGTTTCATTTGCTGAGAGTTTTAAACCATGAAAAGATTCACTCAGTCAGTCTTAGAGGATTTTACATTAAGAGTCTGTCTCCAGACAGACTTTCTCGCATACACACACGCTCTCCAGTTGACTGCAAGTGCTTCCAACAATATTACACCCAAAGGAGATTCCTCTGCTGTCACTAACGCAGTTTACTGACTTCAGATGTTTCATACTAAATAAGTAACAAAAAAAATGTAGATTAAAAAAACAGTTCTTCAGTGAAAATGAGCCAAAATAGACTCCCAAGAGGGATCAAGCTGAAAAAAGGTTCCTTGTCCTCTGACAGGTGACAACCACGTATTATAGTTCTGTTCAGACCAACCTACCAGGAAGACCCTTTGATCTGCCCTACGATTGCATTTCAGAAGCAAAGCAGAGCAAGTTGTGACAAACTCTACCATCATATTGCTGCATAACCTGCAAAGCCTTAAAAGACACAGCAGCCATAAGTAAACAGTTAAAAAATTCTGCTCCACAAGCTTTTGAACACCATGAGAACTGGAAACATGAGATATAGATGCAGGGCACTGCAGAACTCTGATTATTAAAATAATGTAATAACTTAAGCTTATAACTTAATAATGTAATAACAAAGGTTTCTGTGCAAGAAATACATAGAAATTTGTACAATGCATAAACAAGTTGTACTGGTGCTTGATCTCTGATTGAGTCATTAGCCTAAAAATACACTGGCTAGTCTTGCTACAGTATTGTCTGTAACCCTCACTGTTCCAGACAGTGGACAATCAGTTGCAATCACCACTTGTCTCACTTGTGCAGAATGTCACCTATATAATATGTAATATAGAGGCAGCAGATTTCAAAACTGTCATATTATAATAAAGATTATATTTCTCACTGGCATTTATTATGAGATCATGCCTAGCATAATCCGAACTGTCATGCCTTTCTTTTCTAGCTTAAAAAAAACCATACAGAAACTCTACCAGAATAAAAATAACACTGAAATTATGCAGAGTCAAAAGAGACCCATAGAGAATCATTAGAATCACTGGTTGGCCTCAGGATTTGCAAAGGGGATTTTTCACCTTTTGCAATTGCACTTTGGCTTCAGTTCCACACTGAGTTTAACAAGAGCCTTGCAGTGCAAAAAATGGAGGACTGGCTCAACAGTGATTCAGTCTTGTTGTGGACTGGAAGCATGCAATCCCATTGATATCAACAGATTGAACCGAGAGCAGAACCTGATCCTTACACTTGCTTTGGGACGTAGGAAAGTAGGAAGAAAAGCAGCACAAGCAGACTTTTACAAGGCTTATGGTGAACATGGTACCCAAGTCATGGCTGGAAATAAACAAAAACTGTGCAATGGCCCCTAAGCTCCCCCACAGCCCTCTAAAGAAGTTGGTAGCAACAGGTTAGTGGTACCTGGCAGGCAAAGAGCTGCCTCTGAAAATGTCACCCCTTAGGTTTCTTCAGCCATGAGTAAAATAGTCATGTCCACATTTTGTTCATACTGTATTTTACATAGTTCCTTGGTCTGGAAAACTACAGAGAAATGTGTGTTGTGCTCTGTCATCTTTCAGCATGTGACTACATCTCTTTAAACATTCCCAATGCTACTCTGTACCCCTGATGTAAACTGCAAGTAGTAGGCACAAGAAACAAATACTGTTGATGGACGGCTTTATGGTTACCCCTTCAAAATGATGTATGAGGCTTTGCCTAAACTACAAGAGTGTCCTTATGCCCCCTGCTCTGATAAATGCAGTAGAAGACCACATTCATAATCTTCACACTGTTAGTGTAGCATTTCCAACTAATCAGTATATCACAGTGTCACTCACTGGAATTAATCCAGTCCTCAAATAGAAGAAAAAATAAAGGGGGAAAAAACACCAACAAAAAATATTAAACTAAGAGGAGGAAACCTCTTAGTTTAACTCTGAAGCATTTTGAGAAACAGTTTATGTAGAATAATAGAAACCTGTATTGTACAGCCACTGCCTTGCCATTGTAATGTTTCCCAAGCTTCCGCTGTGTCTAGATAGAGGAGGTTTCATCTTTGTGGAGGATTTCCATGCTTGTCTGTGTGTGGTACAGTCACAACTTTAAATGTTTTTTAAATGTAGTTACTGTCTTTGATATCAAGGGACTATGTGTTCAGATATACGCTCACATGTCCAACTAACTGAAAGCCTCAATTTGTGAGAAGAAGAAAAGCGAGGCTGGGGACACTGTACAAACGGTGTTTACACCACTGAAGTGCTTTTGAAATGGAAAGACTCTGCATGAGGAGGCTTGCAGCTATGCCACAGCCTTGCCGATACCAGTGAGGAGCTCATCTTCAATGTAGTGTTGAACGTAGGTGGCAAAACTGTAATTTCTCTCTTTTTTTTAAACTATTTTTTCTTCTTTTATTTTTGAAATTTTCATCTAAGCGGCAGTTTCTTGTACTATAGTGACTCCTGCTGGGAGAGTTAAGTTGAAGTAGCTGAAGGTCTCTTACAGATATATCAACTCCCGGCCAGTAAAAAGATGTCCTAAACGCAGGAGATGGAGTTAAACTGTTCCCCTACCTTGGACGCAATGGCTTCTTTCATCACTAAGAACAAACCCCTAGGTTTTACAATTGAGACTGAGAAACTAGTACAGTACTTGTACAATTTTTGATCTACAGCATCACGACGTGAAGCTGCAACAATTAGATGTAAAGGGTCCATTCATGAGGAATAACATCACTTTGACCCTTTGTGTTAGCTCCTACTGCTAATCTTTCCATACGCGTGAACTTACTTTCAATTTGAAGAAGATGAAAAAGTCTTTTGCAAAACCCCAATACTGTTTTCTGATCTATGTACCTGAATGTAGAAACGTAGTCTTACCTCGTTTTTTTCCACTACAAGCCAAGCTACTTGTAATCCTTCCAAGCCTTTAAAGGGGACCTCCCTTGTTAGCATCTCCCAGAGAACCTGGAAGGGAAAAAAAGAAAAGAATTTTTATTTCTGTACTTTGTATTTTAAATACATTATTAAACCTTGATACAGCACTATTCTGTATCCAATTACCAGGCAACCAGTTTCCATTTGCAGGAACTTGGACCAGTGTTTGTGTGCAAGATCTTCTCACTAAATTAAATTGAATGTTTCTGCTTTTTCCTCTACAGAAAAGCCAAGATGAAAAACTGGGATGCTTTTTTACTTTCTTTGTACACTATAAAGTTCACATTTGGCAGTTGAGACTTGGGAAGACAATGAACTCTTCCCCTCCTTCTCAGCCCCAACTAGACATAGCTTTGCTTTGCAGTAATTTTTCATTTAAAAATATTTCTATATGATTGCAACCAGTGAATATGATCCAAAAGGTATTTTGCTCCTATGATATGCCTATGAAAATATTAAATATAATTTTGCAATCCAAACTGTAATCATTTATCTCCAAGTATGTGATCATGTTAAAGTAAGCAATATACACAGCATATATAAAATTACTCTGTTCTCCTCAAAATTTTATATATGTATGGTACTTAGATATAGAAAGATCTCCTAATTTTACATGCTCTAAGCGCTTTGGTAACAGTACCTGAGAATCTAAGCTACTCTGTAGAAAAGAGCCAGGCATCACCAAGAAGGCTTCAAGTCAATGAATCCAACTTGGTTTTCTGCCACTGGGACGACATATTGGAATTCAACCAAATTAATAGCACTTTCTACCTCCACTTGTGTATGTCCCTTTTTTTTTTTTTTTTTTTTTTTTAAAGCAGAACCTTCACTTACACATCCTGTTACAAATATCTACAAATTTTTTCTTCTGCTCATATACGAAGCAGAACAACAAAAAAAAGAGACATATTTTATGCAGGATTTGCCTAAATGCATTAAGATCCTTATGCAAGTCTCTATAACCTCACTGTTAGGGTTAGTACCCAGGTTTATTCCAGCTACACCATTTCAAATGGATTGTGGACAGCCATGAAGATAATCAGAAAAAAAAAATGCAACAATATTGGCAGATGGAAGTCAAGCAAAAAAAAAAAAGCATTGAAGCAGAGTTGGGCTTTTCATCAAGTGAGCGGGGTACACTCCAACAATAGACCTATTTGAATAATTCTGCTTGCTTCAGAAGACTGATTGGTAAAGGTAAGGGTATCCTGGAAAAATAAGGACACTTTTCCTGAGAATAAGAAATATAGACTTCACTCCTTTTAGAAGAAAAATAAGGCACCTCAATTAGTAACTCCAATGATCACCTCTCTGCTGGTAGGGAAGGAAATTTAACTCTGAGAGGAGGAAAAAATTTAGCAACCCCATGTACTTCAGATAAAAAAGCAGTGTACAAAGCAGTCAGTTTAAAACAGAAGCCCCTGGATCAAATCAGACATGTAGTTGAGCAGTCTTGTAGAACCACCTCATCTGTAGGACTGCACCATGAAATCACAGAGGAGAAACTCAAGTTTGCACAAGATAGAGCAGTATATATTTTCTAAGTAAAGAACATAATGAAATACATGTTAAATGTCTTCAAAGAGCCTTGAGCTGGGAAACTACTTCTGTGCTACAATTTAGTCTTCTGCAAGAAAGGTAAGAGCTGTCTCATTTCATTCATGCATGTATGTTTGTGCAGAACATTTTGAACTGAATTCCTTTATCATGACACTTTCAATGTTTATTTCCACTGCCTGTACAGATCACTGCCTCCCTAAACCAACAGTGTGAGCTAAAAACACTTCAAGACTGCACACAGTTGAAGAGAAAAACAGCAATCTGACACAATATGAAGAATTTTTCTTAAAGCTTTCATTTTACTAATAAATGAAAGTAAAAGATCCAAAAGTGGGATGCTGTAAATCCTTGTATCTACTTATACAGATTTAGAAAACATTCAAACAATAATGCAATTCTAATATTCAAGCCCATGGTATAGATAAAGCATTTCCTTCCAGCAGTGATGTATCTCTACGTTCAGTTTTATAGGAGCTTCAACCCCATCTCTTGGACTAGCTACCCTGAATCATCAGCTAAGGGGAAAGATTGCACCACCAGTCTTTAAAAAGCAGCAAACGGATACCTTCTGCATTCCCACTTGCCTCTTCCTCTCCCCAGGGTCATTGAGCAGCAGACAAGGACCTTAACCTGACTTACCCCAGCCTCTTTTATTGCGAGGTATGCTCTGTTCATTTTCAGAACTGGCTCCCCAGCTCACTTCACACGGAAATCAATTTATCTTCCATTTCAGGTGTAAAATCTAACTGAGATTGACATGGTTCACATCCCCTCCCACCCCTGACGGTGAGGATCACCTGCTTCCCCAATCACATCACACCTCTGTGATGATGGACAGCAGGTGCTCACAGAAAAAACAGCCAAGCTAGAAACAATGATGAAAAACAAAGGAAGGTCATTTAATGTAGGGGTTTGTAACCTGTGGCCTCTGAAGACGTTGGGCTCATCTTTGCATACCGATGAACAGACAGGAGAGATAAATGCATGAACTGTCATCCTATACATGAAGCTGAGAATAAGAATTACGCGGTCTTCAGAAAAAGCTCCTACACTTACTTCTGTCAGCTCAGCTGTGCGTTTCAGTTCTTATCCTCTCAACTATGTGTTAACAACCCAAAGATAAAAAAACAACTCTACAATACCCCCAACCCCATCCTGCATCCCCACGCCAGTGCAAAGCCAACCAAGATTCAAAGTGCCATTTGGGTAGGGGAACATCCAAATGAGTAATCTGAGGGAAAGAAAACATTCTGAACATCTTCACTGAAAAAAAAAAAAAAAGCTGTTTTCTCCTGGTAGGAAACTGTTCACAGACAATGGTCAGGAGCCACAGTGAGTGGAAGTACAGCATGAGCATTAGCATTGCACTCATAGAGGTACTGCCCTTAGGCATGAAAATTAGGTCACTCTTCTCTGCATTGATCCAACTGCAGTTAAAGATCGCATAATTCTTTTCAAAGAGAGTAAGGGATAACCCCTGGAGCTGGCCAACATTCCCTCTATAAATAACATATGTTCTCATAGCTACAGCAATGTTTGAACAGCTGCTACATTTAATGGCAGTCTCTATGCCACCAATAGCCAATTAATGGTTTTACTTATTCGTACTTGTAAGTGATAAAATAATTCAGCTACATCATATAAGCTTTCTATGATTTAACACATTTATACTGATAGACAAACACGCTGTGGTGCACCACAAACAGTTCTGCCAGGATAACATATTCTGAGCATATGTCTTCATGATTTCAAAACAGCTTTTTGAGTGACACTGTCATTCCACATATACTTTCCTATCTGGCAGAGATGCAAGGAATAATTTTTGAGCAACACACAATGGCATATGAGTCAATTTCAGGGTTGATCATTTGTAACACTTGGTATCTGCTGTTTAGAGTATGGATTTGGAAATGGATCAGAAAAGAGAATCTCAGCATGGATGAAGGAAAGTGCAAGATTTGTCTTTGTGTTTTAATAAACCTCCTGGAACATTCAGCTTTAGCGTTTCACGGCAGTATTATAAATTATTTACTATATATCCTGAAGAGAAACATGGACCTGTTTAACCATCCATGAAGAGCAGGACAAGCTAATCTGAACCTTAACTACAAACATGTATACAATTGTTCACAAAGAGGAAAATTCATTTCAGTTGAGAAGCAACTCAGACCTATAAGGTTGCAGAAAGATTTTGACACTTCACGGAAAAAAGCTCTCACACACCTTAAGCGGAATATTTAAAATCAAAGACTGGTTTGTAGAAAGAACAGAGTGTCAGACAGAAAAATAGCAGAAAAGAAACTAAAGAAAACCATGGGGAAGATGACAAATATTGCAAATGGAATATCTATTCCTAGCATCTTACTAGTTTACATTTGAAAGGATTCTGTTCTTTGTTAAGAGGACTTTAACTGAAGAAAAGCAGATTTGTCTCTCTAGCACAAAAGCTGCTGGCAAGTGTTACACTTTGAAAAAGGATTCTTTAAATTTTGTTTTTATAGATAATAAGAATTTGAAGAGACAAAAATACCCTTTCTCAGAATTTTTTGTTTTCAGTCCCCTAGCTAATTCTCTGATAGTCATAACACTCGCAGGGAGATTCCAACCTTAAATGTTATACTCAAGCTATTTCTTGCTGGTATAACCTCATTAGGTCAGTAATTTCAGCAATATAGAACTTTGGCCACTGCCATTCTTCATTTCTACCCCTGTACCTCCTCTGAAAATTATGATGTTCCAAGACTAGAGTTACAAAAGGATTAATTGACTCCTAAGTGCTTACGAATTCATAAGCTTCTATCCCCAGTAGAAGATATTAGCTCAAAAAAAAATATATTAAAAAATGTGGGTCAAATATTATTAGATACTCTAAAGTAGCACTACACATCCATTACAAAATTAAAATATTCTGGTAACACTGAACTGTTTTCATAAGGAGGGTAGTTGCGTTTTACCTCCAAGCACAGAACTGTCAAAGGAACCTTACTGTCTGGATGAGGACAAACAAACTATGCATGACATACTGTTCCCAAAGCACTGTTAATACTTCACATGATAAGATACTAAATAATTCCTTACCTTCTCCCACACAGAGAACATTACTTCAAGTCAGTTCAAACTAGGATGACTATAGGAGCAGTTTGAGCTATAAGACTATGTTTGGAATTTTTCCTCTAACATTTTTGTTCTGTTTTGAAACTGGAATGTTTCCCTTCAGTGGACAATATGTGATTGCTTTCAGTAACAGTTTACATTAACATTTACATTTGTTAGCTTATGTTCTCCCACTGTTTGTGACCTAGTTCAGTTAAGCAAGCAAGGAGTTTGAATCTGAAAATACAGTCTTTTTCTCCCTCTTTGCAAAACTTCAACCTTTGTTAAGGGATGCCACATCATCTCTCACATATTTTTTTTCTCACTATAAACAACTGTTTGGCAAAAAGTTTAAGTCATCCTCCATTGGAACATCAGCTTAGGTATATTAACCATTAGGTGCTAGCTTAAAAACACAATGCCTCCCTCACAGCTATCTACTCCCATCCCTCAAAAAGAGGCAATACCTGATGGGTACTGAAGAATTCCTCATTCTACCACCCACTGTTGAATCCAAACACAAATATGGTTAATACACAGATAAGCATGGAAACTACAATCCCACTTCCTTTCCTTTACCCCTCAAAGTACTCTTCACTGTCTTCTATCACAGAATGGCTACGGGCACACAATTTATCTGACCACTATGGCTATTTCTAGCCTATTTTGTATTGCACAGCAAAACCAAATTAGAGTTTAACCGTGGACAGAGTGAAGTAATTCACATTATTGAATCTGAAAACCAGACATTGTATTTAACTATAACTGATTGCTCACCCTTCAGAAAACCAGCAAAGTAATGTTGGGCTCTCCTATATTTTCAGATGGGTAGAGTCTCTATTCTCACAGGTAATGATAGAAGGGTCTTTTAAACAATTAAGCATAGAGCAGTGGCTTACTTTTTAATATAAATCAGTGATATTCCATTTTAGGGGAAGTAGAATGCTAATCATGTCATCCTGTTATACACCTATTACAAGACAACCTTCAGTTCCACAAAAAAAACAAGCAGAGATTCATGATGCAGGTCGTTCAGTGGCTCCTAAAAGCCTTTAAACATATGCTGAACAACTGTGGTAAAGCATGCACTTCCCTACACTGGCATGCTGTTAATCTACTACTTACAGATCTTACTAAACATGCAAAACACTGTTCTTCTTATCATTTTCAAGCATGTAATTACAAATTATGGGTCAGTCTTAAAAGAAAGTGAGAGTTTTTTTGTTTTTCTTATTTAGAATTGTTGTTCTTGCATCACGTGAAATTTTGTCACACTGGAGAACTTCTACCACTCATAGTGAAATGAGAGGCACTCACCACTCCGTACGAGTATGTGTCACATGTTTCAGACACTGGAAGACTTTGAATAACTTCTGGGGCCATCCATGGAAAAGTGCCCACTAATGACATGTGTGTCGTATGGGAGTGGAACCTTGAAGCACCAAAATCACAGATCTGGCATAAATAAAGAATAAATAAAAAATTAAATAGGTAATAGAGTATCAGCCTCATTTATGAGACATCAGAACATTGACTCAAGCAGCATCTCTCTCCAAAATATTAAAGAATTCATACCTTTAACACACCATCAGCAGCTATAACAACTGAAAATGAAAAAAAAAAAGGTTAGAAGAATGCTAAAAATAAACACAGTATGTTTTCACAGCAAAATACTTTGTTTTTTAACAAGACAAATGATCTTATGGTGAGCGAGCACTTGACTGTGCACATGTGCAAACTGTCCTGGTTTCTTTGAGAAGCTTTAGAGAACATCTATTGAATTCCTGCAAGCCTCCCAACAAATGCAAAACCTGGCAGGCCTTACTGAGTTCAAAGATAGCAACACAGATAAACTTTGTTCTCCCCAGTGTAGTTAGGCTTATCAAGAAGATCTCTAGAAGACTCATTAATAAAAGGAGAAAACCAAGGTGAGACCTAGACTTTTCTTGACTATTATCTCCCTGTCTGCATTATTAAAATCTGTGTCCCTCCTATCCCACGACTGGTAGTGGAAGTTTCATTTTAAAGTCAATATTCTGCTAATTTCATAAACAGCCATCAACTGCTACGTACAGACTGCACACTGAATATGTATTACTCAAAAGCATGAATATCTGTAAAACCTCAAAACAGGCCACAGTAAAGACAAGATTTTCTGATAACAAATAATAGACCTTATCCAGCCTATTGTGCCTGGTGTCTGCCAGCCTTTCCAAAAGAAAAAGGAAGAGGGAAGTGCCTGGGCAGTGTCTGAAAGCTGATCAAATGGGTATAATCATGGCCAGCAAGACAACTTTAAAGAGCCCTCCATAGTGCTCTAAATGTTGCCAGGGTCTGTAATGAAGCTCAGGCAGAGTCAGGATGGGGAGGACAGAACAGGCTCCTCTGTGCCTCAACAAGTGCAGCTTGATAACAGCCAAGGCGTTAGTTCTGCTTGTTCCCAAAGCTCAGGCACGGATTTAAATGCTACATTAAGAGGTAACAGTAAATGCAGAGCGTTTCACTGTTTTGATACTTTACCATTCCTGGACTTCAGGTCCCTGTGGATAACTTTGACTGGAGCTTCCATGTGTAAATAGTGCATTCCTACACAAAACAAGGGAACAACCTGGTTAGACAGGCTGAGTGGGGCCATCATGAATTTGCAGTCATATTTTCTGGTTCCCACTAATTATACTTGGTACAAGCTGGCATACCTGTATGCCACACTGACATGCTGAAGGAGAAGCAAAGCTTCCCATAATCCACTTGGAGTAAAAAGCACTAAGCAATACTCACATATCTATCAGAGCATCTATATGGATATGCTAAGGGTTTTTCATATCATATATAGTTATTTTCTCTAAGATGGTGTCTACACAAGGAAGCTGGATATGAATGTACCATTTGTTCATTAGTTTACACTAATTCTTGTGTGGTCGGTCACAGAGAACATAAAGGATGGAACAGCTTATTCTACATTATTATATGAAGAATTTCAGCATGTTTGCTGAGAATAAGCCCTTAGCTTCCTTAAATGCCCCAATTCAAATCAAGTGTAAGAGTAATTATGCACTTTACCTCATAATTACTCTACATCAGCAAAATTATCTATTGGGACTTAGGGGCACACCAGAAGTAAAAATGGCTCATAGAAGCCATTTTCACTTCAGGGTATTTGGGATTCATAATAAACAAGGAACATATTAAAAAGCACAATGAAGGGACTTTTTTATGTATGTATGTTTGGCTGGTTGGTTTTGTTACAATTTGAATAAGAAAGACTACGAAGGCTTTCCTGACTTCCTAAGGAAAGCATCTCCAGCTGTACATTTTGCTGGCTGTGTAGGATACTATACACCACTCATCTTGCTTACCTTTAGCTATGTCAGTTGCCCAGGTCATGATATGATCCATATCCATCTCTTCACTTTTGTTACTATTAATGTAATCAAACAGTGAGCCAGCAGAAGCATACTCTGTTAAAAACAGTAAGAAACGATACATTTTAAAACATTGAACCTAATATGAAATATGTAATAGAAACTCTGTGAGTGTCAGAAAGAAGTCAACCTCTGGCTTAATAACAAAGAATTTGGGTTCAGCAGCTAATACTATTAATAGTGTAGTAGAAGAATGGTAGTTTGTTCTGATTACCCCAACATAGACATAATCTACTCCTAAGGAAAAAAACTCAACCAAACAAACTGTAATCATATATAACAACAGACATGAAATTGGAAAGGCATTAGGTCTGGCATCAAGAAAGCTCAGGCAAAGCAGTTCAAATTCCAGAATAAAAGGCTCTGGATGCTCCTTGTTCAGGATAAGCAGACCTTTTTTTCTTAATTTCTGTTAACGACACCAACAGAATCCCACAGCAGGATTCTATGGGTACAAACGTGGGGGTTTGGGGGCCTACTGGTGTTTGTACCTGTGGCAGATGGAATCCAGTCTGACTACCAGAGCTGTATGGCTTAAAGCAGGAATAACATGCTAGTTTCACCTACACACCTTTAGGTGCGAAACTGGAGACAACCGAAACTTGCACAGTGCCACTTTTATATAACCTAAAATTCTTACTTTTTTTACAGTGATTTTGCTGTCTTGATCAGAAGAGCATTTAACATATGAGGTTAGTGGTATCAGATCCATCTTACTGTTTCCAAAATCAAGAATATTCCCCTCTGGTAAGCAATAATGTGTGTAAGTGATGCCCCGTAACAAAGGATTTTCTTTTTTTTTTTTTTTTTTTTTTTTTTTTTTTTTTTTTTTTTTTTTTTTTTTTTTTTTTTTTTTTAAGTATAGCCACGTGTTAAATATATAATGTTCTGTTAGGAAGGAAGGGTCTGCAAGTAGAAAGGAAAATTAAAATTTTCTTTTCCTATGTCCTATTTGCCCATGGAGGAACAGAGTAGCAAATCAAATAATTTATTCATGAAAAAATGGAAGATGATACTAGAAGTCTAACCCTGAGATATGCAGGACAGATTTCCTTGTGCTGTAGGTTATGTACAATGGTCTAAAGGCTGTAGCTCTTCTGCTTAGTATTTATTTAATAAGTTTTATACTTACTTAGAATTCATTCATGTTTCATCAATACAGGAAGTTTATGAGATGAACAGCTGATACATTTTCTTTTATCTGTTTGCCATGAGAGAGCAGGCACATGCCACCTCATGTAGCCCAAGTAGCACAAAGATCAGTGGGATGCAAGGAGCAACTTAAGCCTCTTAGCCCCCTCTCCCAAAGCTATTCAGTGTGCTTCTCAGGTAGAACTTGGAACCTACTCACAAGGCTCACAGAATCTTCATATCATTTCAAAGCAGCCACAAAATCATTGCCACTAAGATGATATTGAATGTATCTGATTTTGTTAATAATAATACTAATAACCAATGATTGAAACATGATAGCCTAAATGCATGAAAAAATCATATTGTTCCTTATCAAGGAAATCAAAACTACTGGGAGATTCCTGCATGTGGAAGGAAACTGAGACACGACTGAATCTGCAGCCTAGAACATGGTAGGCCAGATGAGAAGATTTCAGTGCTAAATGAAAGAGGGAGAAAATAGCAAGTCCCTAGAACGTAAACATTCAAGTGGCAAGCAGAACCTCCCACTGAAAGGACAGACGTGTTGCTTCTGATGTCACTGACAGAAGAGTAAGCTGCTGACCCGCACATTTCCACAATTAAAACAGAAGCTTTTTTTACCCATGATGTCATCATCTGTCTTATAAATGGATTCTTCAGGAATAGGTTGGCTGCATGCTTTGCATGCCTTTACAATGCATAATTTGATCCACCAGGGTCAGGGACAACTCAGCTCCCCAGACCCTTTGCCACTCTGTGTGAACAGAGGCAAGCAAGCTTTTATCAACAAAGTTCTACTGTTGGTATTTATTCTATATATTTATTGTGCCACAGGTTTTACTATGATCTTATGGATTTGGGTATCACATCACAAGGACAATGTTCTGTCTACAATGGAAAAGAAATACTTGCTTTAGAAAGAAACACACTGAGTGCCTGACTGGACCCACCCTGTGATGGGCTGTGGGATATACCATACAGTTCTCTGCAACGGGAGCACAAGCTCTGAGAACCTTTTGGAAGGAGGCAGCTGTGGTCAAAAGGCACACCTGAAAGCTAGACATTGACACTGCTGCTGACAGACAGCCAGTGACATCTAGAATGATGTGATCCATGTTAGCAGCTCACCAGGCGGGATGATCTGCTGTAGTGCTGACACACATCCCAGCAGGAAAACGTGTTTTAACTGCAGATGGAGCCTTTCTCAGAGAACTCCTTGACAATCCCACATAAGATGTTACGTGCAGCTAATACTCAGTACATGCCAATACTTGGTTGAATGATTTATCTCCATCACTGAAGAAACATTAGTTTCTCTGCATTCCTTTTTGTTTGGGATTTTCCCTCACAAGAAATAACCTCTGATTAAACACAGGATTAAGTCTGCAACACTGATGGTCATCCAGAAGATAATGAAGTAAAAACCCCTCTAAAAGATATTTCAAGTACAGTTAACATTTCTTTTCACAGTAGTCATTGTCTCATTTGAAAATGGTTGGGGAAATGGAGACTTGCTTCCATTCCAACCCTCAGGACTCTGGTCTCATTAGAAGTTGCAGGGAGAATCAACATAGTTTGCTAAAAAAAAAAAAAAAAAAAAAAGCTTTTTTCTTTGGCCACACCAGAGTCTCTTTCTCACAGGTGGTTAAAGAGTCCCTGTTCTCAACAACATTATGAATTACTTTAGCTGCTGTCCTGCAACTGGTAAGCAGGTCAAATGTCTCCAAACACTGACCTTTTACAAGATCAGACTGAGGCCTTCTGATCCAGACATCATCCCAAGTCATTGATTACACCTCTCCTTTGTTACTCTGCTTGCTGGTTATTACAGTTACATTAAAAAGGATAGTAAAATTTCATTACCTGATTTATTAGTTTTGTATTAATTTTATTGTTTCCAGAAGGAATTCAAGTTCCTGTCTACATGCCATCACCAGTGCGTTCTCTGAGCACTGTGTAGTAGTGGGTAGACAGTGGTCACCCCATGCACCTCTGGAGTGCTGGCTGCCACACCAGATGCCCACTAGGCTTATACTCCTCTGGTGAGCAAAGCTCCCCATGCTCTGAACAGTGCTGCCTCTCTGATGCGCTCCCACCGGATTACACTGCCATCTGCTGTGATAACCAGATGTCTAAGAGGCAGGTAGAAATAACTGAATTTTCACAAGTTTTGATCGCCATCTGAAAACCAATAAAAACCTGAACAGCAGTGATTCAAACTGGTATTAAGACTGTACCACACACAAAGACTACTCTTTACCTCAAACTTTGAAGTGTTTGAAGTGACGTGACACAACATGCCTCCTAATTCACACTTTGACAGGTTTTACCTCTCCAAACATTTATTTCCGTAGATGGGAGATTGCTTTGCTTTGCGTTTACTTTCTACAACTATCTTACATAGTTTTTTCCATACAGGACAGGGAGAAAATATTCTACCCAGACCAACTCCCAAGTAAAGGCAGGAAGCTTAAAGTGGTGATAGAAAAAAGAAACCACCAACAAAAAACCCTAACAATACCACAAAAACCAATCTCTGTATAATTCCAGGAATGTCAGAATGAACAAAACCTAGATTCCAATGAATAAAGGGAGTTGTCTTATCATGTCTTATAAACCCTTGACTTTATTTCAAGCTCTTTCCAGGGCTGGGAACTTCCCACTCCAAATTCTCCTATTTTCAATACAGGCAGAATTCATGGTGTAGCTTTGCTCTGAGCACACTCTCAGCGTTTCCTTTTCACAGAACCTGCCAAAACTTCATATCATGAAAACCTCTGCTTCTGTGACACACCAATTGAAATGGAAAAGGAATTCTCAGAAAAGGGTAAGAAAACCCAGTGAAAGCTACTGTTTAAATGAGTGCTGAGTTTGTGCAGGACCCCAGGCTCCACCTGCCTCCAACACTGCCTCCAGCCATGCTCCCAGCCTGGTTCCACCTCCAGCACTCCCATTTACATTGAGGCAGATGGGGCCAAACACTCTAACATTCAAACAAGGCCAGAACAAATAACGAAATGCTGAAATAGGGTAAAACAAATGCCTTGTAACATTGGAGTTTTGCAGAATCAAGGAAAAGGTCAGACAAAAATCCTTACCTGTGACTATGCCATAATTTGGAGGTTCAATGACAGCTCCGTAGAACTGAATGATGTTTTTGTGACTGAGCACACTGAGTATTTCTGCCTGTTGAAAACAAAGAAGACAATTAAAATGGGACATTTACCATGATAGCTTATTTTATACCCCAGTGGGTACACACATATATATAACACATATATAAACACATACGTATCTAGGGAAGACTGTCCACCAACACTTGGCATTTGAAAACCTCATGAGAGAGTTTGGCAAATGAATGCTTTGTATGTTTGGGGGGAAAATAATAAATTTCAGACTATTCTTTCATGGCCAAGGCACAGATGTAGAAGTTAAGTCTTTGGAAAAACTGAAGGCCTTGGAAAACTTTGTTCAAAGAAAGATCTGGGATTTTTGGCAGAGCTGTAGCAGTCCTATCCAGAATTTGTGTTTATGCACAAAGTACTATGGGTTCAGCGAGTCCAGCACTTCAGGCTGTTAGAGCATACCATGCACACACAGCTCCATCCAACGTTTACTGGAAATGCGGAATTCCCGGGCATGCGCTGTGGAGTCTGACTGAATACGCACAGCAAGCGCGCTTGGGATTGCCAAATAGCCAGCAGTGCAGCTGCAACTGCTCCTCAGAGACTACAGATGTTTGGCAATTCTGGATAAACATGCAAAAACCTTCAAATTCCACTTAAACAATGCTGCTAGGTTTGAGAAAGAGATTGCAAGACAATGAGACTGTATCCACAGATATTAAGACATATCCTCTTCATAGTTTTTGAGATAAAAAGTCAGGTAACTCCTTCAATGTCTCTCAACAGTCTCACCTCTGTAGTTTATTAAAGTAAGTACTCAACTCAAGATTTTAGACAGATGTTTTTACACAAATATGCATATTATACAGATAGATACTAGTATATTTTTCTCCACAGTAATGCATTACTTTAAGAGTTTCAGATTATGTTAACTCTATACGAGGCAAGAGCATCTAACAAGATCACAACTCCTCAGAACTTACCAAATGTATCTGATCTGACAGATCCCTCAGCAGATCTGCCAATGGGAATGTTGCTGTTTACTCTTCATACAAATTCTTAGATAACTGCCAATGAAATTATATGTAGCTTTGTAGATTCACTGAAAACAAGAAGGCTATAGCAGTTTGATGCAAAAAGCTATGGTACATCAGCCAGTGTTACTGTAATAAATGTAGAGCTAAAGCAAACCAGTATTTTTTTTGGCGGTACCATGATAGGTGTGCCTAACTGCATGATTACAGATAAAGGCACCACATTACTCATTTTTTTGCTGTTGTTGTTGTTGTTGCTTAAAGACTTTTCTGAGTAACTTTAACACAGTTTCAAAGTAAGACCTTTATCTTTAGCTAATGCCCAGACATTTACACATAGTCAATTAAATCTTTAACTATAGCTTTGCACTTGGGTTACACGAACTCCATCCTGCTTAGCCTGCTCAGCAAGAAAAACAGTGTTACCACCAAGTGAGTAATCTTTTTCACAATACCAGAAAATTAACTTTTAAATGCACGCTGTTCTCAGCAAATCATACTGCAGACTGACTCATCTACAAGTCCACAAACTAATTTAATTGGTAGCTATCTAAGAAAATGTGGCAAGATTCACCTGCAGGTAAACAGCAACAGTCCTACAGCCAGTCAAGGGATGTGTCTGTTCAAGGAGCTGTGCCCTAAAACTGCAGCCCCACCAGCCTCCCAAGGCAAGGGACTACAGCCGCAACAGCGGCACAAGCTGTACCTCCAATCTCCTTCCCTAGTCCAGAGGATGCAGGTGACAGCCTAGTCATTCAGAACACAGTCTCCATGGGCTTGCAGACCCCTATACTTTTCTATTACATTTTTATATTCTTTAGGAAATATTCAATTGGGAAATGTCCTCTAATTCCTACCAGCATTACTGCCAGATAACCAGGAGACCTAATACTCCTTGACAGACTATCTGAATAATGTTAGGAGAAGACAGGAATACCACAAACAGTTAGACAAACTATCTAGAACACTTTATCTTGAACATCTTGGTCAAGAGGAATGGAATAAACCCATCTTCTTCTAAAGTAATTAAACCCCCATGTCTTTAAAGCACTGTGCACACCACCTGCTGTGGTGTTTACAACACAAGTACTTCAATAAGTCATTAGAATTAAACTGATGGGTCTTACATTTGATTTTCCCATGGTCTAATTCCTTTAGGTCTTGGCTACAGAACTAGTACTAGCCCAATGTTTTCAGAGAATGATTAAAAATGCCCCATGATTAACACACTCAAGTGCCATAGCTCCCTATTCCACCACAACGATGTGCGGAACTCAGTGAGTCTCCTTCATCTCACAGAAGACGCTGCTGTATCCAGCAAAAGCCATCAGAACCAGTGGATACAAGGAAGGCCTGGAATGCAGCAACACCAGCAGCAAAACCCAGACTGACCAATCATCCCAGTGCTACCACGAAAGGGACAGCAAGCAAGATATGAGCATTGGGTCAAGAAGACAAGTACTTCACTGCCACAGGCAAACTGACACACAGTGCTTTTATTATTAAGAGATGAAAAAAAAAATTTCTAAGATTATCCTATTTACATGATATTATACACTAACATAATATTCCAGAAGTATGAAAAAATTCCATTTCGGCCATGGCTAATACCATCATCTTCACACTGATGTTCATACTCTAATCTGAGATTTAAGAAACACCAAAGCAAGCCTCCATCCAAGAAATATGGAGAAGCACCTTGTAATTGCCTGCAGATATCCTGAATGAACAACTGTGTAGGGCAGGGAATTTGCCAACTCTTTCTAAGGACCATTATATCTGATAGAAATCTTTTCTAAATACTTTTAATCACTCTGCTGTTGTTTTAGTGATTCTAGATGATTCCTTTAAGGTTTTGCTCTTTTCAGTTGCTGTACATCAGCTGTGAACTCCATTAGCCAATTTAAAGACACTTATTCCTTACAGTGAGAACCAGATGCAAGTCAGTCCACACCTTTGAAGCTTTTGTACTATTTTTGACAAGAAGGTGCCATATTTCAATGAAAATGACTTTCAGATAGCAAATTACAAAGTGGTGGTTAAAGACTGGTATTTCAAAGGTTTCTTAGGCACTAACAAGAATATTCAGAATCACTTTTAAGCATCAAACTCATACTTAAATCCAAAATACCTAAATGCTAGGAAGAAAATCCTGTCATGCATCTGTGCCTAAAGGCCGTTGAAGAAGTCAGCCCTCACTGGCTTGGGCACAACACTCTTCCCTCAGTAAAGCTGCTTTCTATTTTATGCAAGCTAAAGGAGCACAAATTTCCTTCCTAACCAGTGATGAACAGAAACAAGTATTCTGCTATTTAATGAAATTAATTTTTTGTGTGAAAAACAGATTTTTTTTTTTTAATGTTGTATTGAAGCATAACTAATGGTTATTAGCTGAAGGAGAGGCACCCAAACACATAAATACAAACTCCCCTGGACATAACACAGAGATACAGTCAGACACACAAGATGACTGAGAGAGAGATGAATATTATGCTTAGTCCCATGATAAGCTTAGTCCCAGCCTGTTACTGACCATCAAACTACACTGAAACCATTCAGCCTGCACTTACATCACAGGTGTGGATGAAATTATGCTCCTCTTGAGTCCTGCTGAAGTGAATTACAGACTAGATGCCATTTCTTGAAGGCAAAGGGATTCAGAAGTCTAAACAAACCTAATCCACTGTTTACCTAATTCAACCACTATCACAAAATCCAAGGTCAAAGCAAATTACACAGAAAACATTTTAATTTAATTCTCACTTACTGGCTTACCATAAATAAACTCAATTTGTAAGACAGCTACAGTATAAGAGTTTGGAATTCAGGTAATCCCTAAGTGTACAAACATTGTAATTGTGTCCTGTGAACCATGTTATAGATCACAGTGTTTAATAGGTAATTTAGTTTTATGGCTGTTTAATCTCTATTTACTGACATATGTGAAAATGTCAATTACATCACCTATGACTGACATCACCCTACAGCTGCCTCTAGACCCATTAGTACTGCTCTTAACCTTGTAGTACAACCAACCATTTGTCCCCAGATGAGAGGACAAAGCAAGCTGGCTGGACAGCGTGGTCTTATTATGAGCATCACAAGCCTCAGCTCACTGGGCTAACCCAAGCCCTCGTTTGCTTTTGCTCTGTCCTGTACCAGCACAGCAAAAGCAGCAAATGCAGCTCAGCTCTGATGACATCCGAAAGGTTGGTACTGACTGCAGATGTGGGCAATGGCCACCTGATGCTGAGCTGGCATTACTCGGGAATCAGACAAGGCCATATCGTCAGATCTTTAATTGCAGCCACAGAGACAGTAGGGATGTGGACGGAGGCACTTTGCATACAGCTGTGTTGTTGCCTGCCAGCTACTCTCAGCAGCTGCAGCTGCTCTTGTTAGAGCTCCCTATCCCAAGGCAGTGAAAGTTAGCAAAGACCAAACGACTCAGCATATTTTAGTTACTGTGGTTCTCCTCGGAAATACGTCGGAAATTTATTATAGTCACACTTGTAGTCAAGAGAACTGATCAAGGGTTTGGGCTAGCAGCACAGCTGGAACTGCAAAAGAACATCTGTCCACACAATTTTTCCAGTATCAAAAGACTTTTCTGCTTGGGTCTGGACAAACTGGGCCCAAAGCAACTCAACCACCACTTCTTCCAGGTGCCTTTGGAGCACTTGACTGGAAAGAGTAAAGTACTGCCATCTTTCCACCCTGCTTTGAGCACACTGGTTTAGGATTAACACATCGCCTTGTGACATCATCAGGTCAGCCAGCAGCCAACCAACTCTCCCATTAATAAATCAGTAGCTTGCACAGCAAGAGGCACCTTTGCTCCATGTAAAATTAGAGTTAGACACGGTCAGCTACTCAAAGAATCTGATTACCATAACTTCCTTAACTGCCTTATAATACTTACTATTATATTGTGCAAAAGTTTGGTTATTTATTTTTCCAGATAACTGTTTGTCATGTTTATTAAGGAGGTATTCAGACACACTTAAGGCAGCTTTAGAAAGACATT